AGGATTAATTTATTTAACATATTTCAATGAATCCGGGAAAAAAGTTGTGCTAAGAAATCAAAATGCATATGACTTCTTGACCTAAGTAACCCTAATATAATATTCTTGTTCCAAGGAAACTTATTTTACAACTTATTAACCCATGTAAAGGAGAGCAACACAGAACATGCATTTTTATAGCAAGAGATCATTCTAGGGATGTATAAAACATAATATGTAAAGGGAATGTGCATCTGTTAAGAGTGATTATTAAAAGCTTCCAGTTTAAACTGTTTTACTGGTAAAAAATTATAGCAGAAAGAGGAGCTCTCCTAGCTAAGAGTGGTTTAAATTAAAGGGGAAATAAACACAAAGCATATCTGTGCAATATTTCCTGCCAATGCCCTTACTTCTAGCCCATTTCCCCTTGGAGACATGAGAGCTGAATGCATAGATCCTAATGAAAAGCTGTAAGGAAAACTAATTTAAAGCTTCTGAAACTCTGTAGAAGAATAATGATTTGGGAAGAAATATTCCCATATTTCCAATAAATACATGATGAAAGTTAGTTTACAGAATGTAAAGGTTGTGAATTTTTTGGTCCAAAAAAAATATTTAACATTTAAAAATTGACATCCAGACAGGACAAAACCCAAGTGGATCAACTTTTCCCAAATAACCTTCTCCAATGAATTAATTTTCTTTGTTGGTCTTGCTACTGCCATAATCTCATTCTTGTTATTCAGATTGACTGATGAGTGCTTTTAGGATGATGGCTCTTTCTGCAGACAATTCCCATTGGTAGAGCAATTCTCATTCACTCTGCACAGCTAGAATGCTGTTATTGTTGATTCTCCATATTCATCATGATTAAATAATCTGTTTGTAACTTTGTTTTGTTGCTACTGCAAGTACCTGCATAGGCTTTACAGCTCCCATTTGACTGCTTTTCAACACCCCATTTCTTGACTGCCATTTATATTATAAAACTTCTATTTGAATCTCTCTATTGGCAGTTTTTTTAAATTTTGGCCTCTATTTCAAGAATCTCATCATTCACTGGAGTACAACTTCACTCATTCTCTTTCCTATACTGTCCATGAATCTTCACTTCCCAAATGAAATCAGTAAATTTCTGGATAAACTTCCCAGTTCTTAAATTTTCTTTCTGTCCTTCTCACTGTAAGTAACTTTTCATCTTAGTTTGCAAACTATCTACCCTGTTACCAAATCGTCCTTAAACCTCATTGTTCTTAAACATTATGAGTTAAAATGGGCTTTTGTCTTTTTCATATCTCTCTGATAAAACATAATGCATTAACTTGTTCTCTTTTATCATTCATCACCTGTTTGTACTGGGTCTGGCTTGAATGGAGTTAATGTTCTTCATAATAGCTGATACGATGCAGTGTTTCAGATTTGTGACCATAACAATGCTGGTAATGCAATAATGTTTTAGCTGTTCCAGAGTAGTGTTTGCACTGTGTCAAGGCCTTCTCTATTTCTCACTCTGACCACTCAGTGAATAGATTAGGGGTGTGAATGCAGTTAGGAGGTGACACAACCAGGCAGATGACCCAGACGAACCGAAGAGATATTCCATGCAATATAATGTCATGTTCATCAGTAAAATGGAGAGGAGGAGGGGTGTAGGTAGGTTAGCTATCTTCTGGTTGGGTACTGACTAAGCCTTAGGCTACCCATGGGAATGATTGCAATTGCAGCACTTGTTTCCTTCCTTTCTTTCTTACTTCCTCTGCTCTTCCTTTGGTTATTAAACTATTTTTATCTCAAACCATGATTTTTTTGACTTTTACTCTTCCTTTTCTCTATCCCACTGAGGGTGGAGGGGAAGGTGAGTTAGCGGCTATGTGGTGCTTAGCTGCCTACTGGGGCTAACCCATGACACTATTTCACAATATTATTTTAGCTATAATTTTGGTAACTTCAACTGTTTCTTCTAAAATTTTCCATACTGAATGGTGCCTGAAACAGACTTTCATTTTTCTAAACAGACCAGATAGTTTCCCAGACTGAAGGAAACACGCTCTTCTCTCTCATGCTTCTATTAACTCTGCTTTGCAGGTCATGATATTTGGCACTGGGCTGGCATCATGTCTATCCCTCTGTCATCTTTCTGAAAATCCACTGAGGCAAGGTGTTAAAATCTTGAAAACATGGAAGTCAGCAGAAACTAGAGGGCTAAATCCCCAAATTCTTTGTCCATGCTGGCTGTATTTCCACACACAGATGATTAGCACCTTGCCTCCAGCTGTACTTTTGGGCTGTGGTAGTACTTGCTGGGTCTGGGCCTGCCGGTCCACCCAAAGAGAAGGTATTGCCTTAGCTAGATCAAAGCTACATGGACAGAGTGAGAAGCTGTGGTTTTCATTCAAAAGAAGCAAAAAATTAGGCCTGAAGAGGTAGGACTAGTTGGACTACAGGAAGTAGTTGGAATAAAGCAAGGATCAGAGTAATGGATGGTAGTGAATTGTAAGGAAAACAGGACTGGAAATTGAGTGGAGGAGACTGAGAAGGACGAAATAGAGAAGAGAAACAGTGAATGAGTAGGTTAATGTAGACTGTGTCTGAGAGCAGTATTTGAGCAAAGATGATCAGATCTAGCTGGCTTAGGGAAAAAAAAAAAGAGAGGGAAGGGAAGTGAAATACCAAAGGGAAGGACTGAGAAAAGGACAGGAAACATGACAGGAGATAGTTTCAATAGGTTCAATAGGTAACGAAGGTACGGAAAGACAACATGCAGTGAATGGTGAAAAGAAGGTAAAGAGCTGAAAAAGGGCAGGAAATGTCACAAAGGTCCTAGGAAGTTAAAACAGTAAGAACTGGAAACAAAAGTTAGAAAAACAGCAAAAGGTTGGAAAGGATGAAGGGATTAGAGTATAATGTGTAAAAGACCCTGTGCTGCAACATGCACCTTTCTAGCATCTGGGATAGAAATGAAATAATATCCAATTTGTAAGTAATCACTGGATGCACAGACATATTTACAGATATGGAAATGAATACATGGCTTCCAACATACACACTTCCCTCAAGGGCAAAAGACTTCATTACAGTTGGTCTCAGTACTATTACAAGGCAATTTTCAAATATCTTCTAGAAACTCACCATCATGCTTATTTGAAATGAAAGCAAGGTGGTGGTGGTGGTGGTGGTTGTTGTTGTTGTTATTATTATTACTATCTGCTTCACTAAACAGCTGCGTCACCCTGTAAAACTTCACTGCCTTTCCCATCCCTTTTTTCACTGCGCCTACATTCTCCACTTATCGCATAATTCAAAGGAGCTGAGTAACTATGTAGAGAAGATGCTTCTAATTGTTCTGTAGCACTGACCTAATTGGAACTGTTTGTTAATTGATTAATTTGTTATTAACCCCTTCTACAGTTATGTTTTTTAATTTTATCTGTGTAAGTATTGTTTTCCAATCTTTTTCTATAAAACTAAAATGGACAAGTGTTAATTACTAGTATATATTATATTCTAGTAATACTGGAGAAAGCATTAAATTGATGAGAAGGAAATACATGTTTTGAATGGGAAGAAATATTCTTGATAGATTAAATAAATGGGAGTGAAAATAACTTGATATTACATATGATGCTGATTCCTATTGCTTCCTATTCTCATACAGCTGTACCTATCAAAACAAAAATCAACAAAAATAATGAAACTCCTGACAAAACAATATAAATTTCTTCTGCATTATCCCTGATAGAAAATAAAAAATAATCTTATTTTGAATTGTAATCATTGAGAAAAGTGAATGTTTCATGCAATGTTAAATTTGTGTTAAGGACTTCAATCTCCTCTAAAGTCAAATCCTATTTTTAATATATAAAAATTAATACAATTAAAATATACTATTTCCACATGTTAAACCATTTAATGGAACCGTAATAAAACCTTATGAAATACATATTGCATCAGAAAATAAAAGCAACCTTAAGATGCTTATTGTAAAAGGCTATGTTTTTACTAAACAACTTTATAGTGTATTTTATAGGAATGATTCTTTTTCTGTGGAATGCTTTTAGTAATCTACTAAAACCACAGTTCCCTTGGCGTTATTACCTAACAAAGTTTAGCATTGTTTCCCTGCTATATAAACTTAAGCTTTTGATTTTATATTGCCATTTGAGTGCAATCATTTCTCGAAATCATTTCTTTTCAGTGAAATGTCCTTAATAGAATGCAGGACAATGTCAGCTGCTACAAATTCCAGCAAGTAAATGTACACAAGATATAACATTATAAAACAAAAAGTATAAATATGGCAAAAAGAAGATTCAAGGAAAACTCATTTAAGACTTGCCTTTTACTTCTCAATATATTTGTAGCAACAAAAGGGCAATCAAGGCCAAGAAGTGACACCTGTTTTCTTTTTGCTCACTCTTTGTCTTCAAATTTTAAGAAGTTACATTAAACCTTCCCAGAAATTCAGGTGGTAATTTTTCAGAGAACTAGAGAAATTTGACTAAAAAAAAATGCTGAAAAATTATGCTCCAGAAGCAGATGTGGATTCTGTCTCTTAATGACTTTGGAAGCAAAAACCATTTCTTTTTCAAGGGTAGTGCCTTTTTTCAGAATCAAGTTTTTAGCTTTCTCTTCACTTGCCAGGGAAAAGTCCCACATTATAGGACTGCCTAACACAGAAGAGAAACTTCCATTTCATTTCTGCTTATGCACTTTACCCTGCACACTAGGAAATTATTTGGCAGTAACATCATGGAAAAAACTCCATTTCCACATGTGAGCTTTACATGAATGTATAAATATTCTGCTGAAAGCTCTTAGTTTTAATGGATCAAATAGTAGCTTTCTGACATATCTACATTAGAGTTATTTTCTAAGCCAAATCATGTCATTTGGCAATAGGTTTTAAATGTCTGATAATACATTCATTTGCATATATTTCTTTTAATCATCTACTAAAAAATGCTACTTTGTTATTAATACATGTTTTGTTTCAGTTAGAAATTTGTTTCATCTGGGTTCACCTGTAAATAGCAGAGGCTGGATAAGATCCTGTGTCATAACTGACCCTCACTCTACCTCGGTACAGCTCTACTGCTATATGATCTTTGTCGCCTTTGTAGAGCAGGATCCCACTGTCTTCATCTGTGGCAATCTAGTTAAAAGAAAGAAACACTTATAAAGAACTAAAAAAAAATTAAATCAGAATACCGTATTAAGTGAATCTCTGAATTTAAGTGACTCTCTGAATTTACTGCCATAGTCTACTACTTCACTATGAAATTGTTCCTTGAAGGACAACCTGAAAAAATTCTTTCTCTTCCTATCAATAAGGCTATCTACTTCAATATGAATATAGAGTTATTCCAGTGACTATTCTAGATTTTTAGCTCAAACTGTGGAAAGCTCTTCAAGTGAGCCAATGACAACTGGCTAATTTTCCACACCATGAAAAGTCATTTGCACTCTTTTCGAGACCAGAATATGTGACACAAGCAATCTTACCTGTAGAGTGATATTGGTTTGGGGGCGTATCTTAGCTGAAGGGATTTGTAAATAGGATTCTTTGTTGACAAAGTTTATACTGATCAGCTTTTCACATTTCTCGCCCTGGTAGCCTGATAAACACTGACAGATCGGTTCACTCTCTTTTATGATACACTGGGCTCCATTTTGGCATTCATAATTATCACAAGGGCTGGTGCGAGGTAGAACCATTGGTGGTGAAAACTCACAAAACAAGCCACTAAATGCAAAAGGAAAAAAATCAGTATTTAAGAAAAAAAGTAACCTTCATATAAGACATACATGTTTGTACTGTCTTTAGGTGTTTCTCACCTGTATCCTTCTGGGCAAATACATGTATATCCATTAACTGCATCAGTACACTGCGCTCCATTTTTACATTTGTTGTCCTGGCAGTCATCAAAGTCAATATCACAATGCTCGCCTACGTATCCAGGTGTGCAATCACATCTGTGAAACAGGAAAGCAAGTGGGATAGTGCAGTGCCTTTTAACAATACAGCGTGCTTATGACAAAATTAAGGAAATCCTGAACTGTTTAAATCTCAAGAAAAAAATGCATTACTGTGACTCTGTGTGCAAAGACTATGTAGATTAATCATTACGTTATCTGGGGAATCTACATATGTAATGAATACAGGTTTGCTAGTTACACATGCTTACTCATCTGCCATTATATTGAAGAATTGTGGTTTAAATCTTGAGAGCCGTCATGAATAGTTTTGACAGTTCTTGGAATTTACGAGTAATGCAGAACATTATAGGATGTTGTAAGTGGTTGCAAACACTAAAAAATAATCAACATGCTTAGCTGCTGAAACTGAGACAAATAATCTAAGGGTTATATTATATGGATGGATATTTTCTTTGTCAACTGAACAGCTATGGATGGACCAATGCTCCATTTACACAGTGTAGATGTGTAAATTTTCCCCCTTGAAGTTCCACCAGTCTGATTTACTATAAATAGCTCCATGGTTAGTGAACTAACAGAAGTCTCAAAACACAACCTCTGCCGTCCCCAAGCCCCCACTGAAGTAGAAACAGCATATCCTCAAGACAGTATGTAATTTCCCGTCCCCCCCATAACACTCATTGTTAATTCTCATGGCATTTCTTCAGGGAATTATCATATATTAGACTGAGCAAATGCCAAGAACTCTGTGAAAAATTAATGGAAAAGACTACAAATGCATGTATTCACATGAATATTTTTTTTAAATTAAGATGTATGTAATTGATTTCATTAGATCTTGTGATTCCCTCCTTGGTGTTGTTTCTTTTAGTATCTAGAATTTGCTCTAAAGTGCCAAGAGTGAAATTAAATAGCTGTGCAACTTTAAATTAAGTACTTCAATCAAATGTCTGAATTTTATTTAACATATACGAGTAAGAAAAGTAAAAGAAGAATATAAAGCACTCTATTAAAGAGCTGACTAAGTGAAATACATGCTTGAAGCTACTGCATGTGCTATTTTCTGATTTAAAATCTCAGAAAGTAACACAGAAGATTAATGATTTAGGTAGTAATGTGTAAGATGCCAGACTAGGTTTACTGAAGTGACATGAGGAAAATAAACATAACACACAACATTTTAAATCTAACAAGTTTTCTATTTTCCAGCTGAAAACTATCAACTTCATGTTCATTTGAATATTTATATATTTGAGCATTTTTGCCATATTTTAAATAAAAAGTAATGCCTTCTCTGTATCTTCTGTCACCAGGGCACCCACCCCATTCATCAGTGGGCCTACATTGCCTCTGGTAATAAATAATAAATAATCTGATTTTAGCACAAAAGCATACTGTGCCTAAAACTGGTGCTTATGACAAAAACTGAAAGCTGCAGGTTTCCTGACCTAATGCCTATTAAAAACACTTTAAATTGTGCATACTAATTAATGATGATAAGGATATGGTGTAATTAAAGATTAGTTTTCCTGGGGATGGACTTCTTTAGTTTATAACTTTCAGTGTGCCTTCCTAATAATCTCTTTCACAATTCTCAGAAAGCACTATAATTATTCCACTTCAATTAAATGCAATTATTTTCCTACTGTCCAAGCTACTAAAAGGGTTTTGCATGGACTGTCACATAGACTAACGGCTTTACTCTGCGTTCCTATTTAAAATCTGACTGGGATTAGAACTGTTAAAGATCGGTAAAATTCATTAAAACACATTTAAGATAATACTGCAGATCTACGTGAAAATAATGGCCTATTCTGCTGTAATGCTTGATTACAAAAATTTTGAGAACAGAACTTGCTTCCACTAAAACAAAAAGAAGTTAAGCAGTATTAAAAAAAAATAGAAATTTAGACTAAGTGGGACTGCAACAGTATTTTAGACTTACTTGTATCCTTTGGGTGTCAAGATACATTTTGAGTCATGCTGGCAAGGATTCAGGTTTTGAGCACAGAAATCTAGTTTCTCCTCACAGAGCTCACCTGAAATATAATGCATGCTTTCAATTCAGTCAAAATATCACCATGACCTGAAAATAGCTGTTTTAATTTTAAAAGTAACTGCTACAAGTTTGTTACACTGAAAAATGTATACTTCATGATATAATAAATACAACCTTTATAATAAATACTAATAAATATTAATACTGAAATGATAATTAATACTTATCTTTCTGATAACCCCTTTATTAAAAAAAAAACAAAAACAAAAACAAAACCACAACACACAGTTCAATGTTATATTTATATCCACGGATATAAATGATAATTTTGTAAAAAAAATATTTTTTCACTTACAATATTTATTTAGCTATGCCATATGCAAAACACTACTGATTGAGTCTCTTCTTACCAAGACAAACAAGCCATCAATATGCATTTATCTTATTTATTTCTAAACACATTACACACAAATACCCAGATTTACACTGTAAGTGCAAATTCCCTAAAAAAACCCCTTGTTAATATCACTGCATGCCAGTACAACTCCAATTATCCCCAAGTGAAAACTTGCTTGCTACTTTTTCTTAAATATGACTCTCCAATTTTTGCATTTGTTAATATAACATAAGTATCTATAATCTGTTCTGTGAAAAAAAAAAATCTGTCAAATGTCTACCCTTCCCTCCTGCTAGAAGCCTAGGCTCTGATTTCCAACATGGGCTGTAAAATCTAAAAAATATTTTATTACTAAAATATGATTTCATTTGCAACTTTGACAAGTAAAAACTTACAGGTGTGTATACAGATCAACAATGTCTTGTTCCTTGACTAAATAATCAGAAGATACCATGAAGAGTGCACTCACAAAGTTAATCACTGGGATAGATATACTTATTCCAGCATCCATTTGAAGAATATTTGTATAATCAACAGGCATAAACCCGGTGCCTAAGGGACTCACAGTTCTATCGGGCCCTGAAACTATGGAAGGAGTAGGGTTGCCCCTTGTCATTTATCAAGCAATAAAAGATGACCTAATGAGGCAAAAGTAGAAGGGTACACCAAAACAAGGAAGGAAACAGCAGAAGATAGCAGTGGATGAGCAGATACTTCCTCAGGTCAAGTTGAACTTTCCTTCAAAGAGACATATATTTGGTAACCTTCAGTTTTACTAATCTGAGTGTGGTAGCGGCCTGAAGCATAGTTAGCTGAAGAATTGGTATCTGCTGAGGGCAGCCTGAGATTAAAATAGTATATAATGGCTTCACCTCTTTCCTGTAACTGTTAACACAGTACAGAGGATAAGGACAGCGCCATCATGAATATGATACCGGGAAAGAAGGACAGACCATTTAGGGACACAATTTGGGTGGAATAATGAACAGGTATTTTGCGAAAAGGGAGACAGGCATAGGATAATAACACTGTAATGGAGATTTTGGAGACGGTATATGAATGAGGATATCTTCCAGAATACATGTGTGTATGTGTATCAGCTCATCAGCTTCTACCATCATTAAGCAATAAGTTTTCTGATGTTTTACACTGCTCCTTGCCAAGTGCCTAGCTCCACACAGAAGCTGCCTTCTTGCTTACATAGGCTTCTCTGGAATTGCAGAAGTACACACCATAATAAACTGGAAGCAACAGCAGAAGTTTAAAGGTCTATTTGTCTCTTTGGGTTTTTTTGTGTGTGGTGGTGGTCTTGTTGTTTCTTGGGGTTTTTCAGTTTTGTTTTTGTTGGTTTGTTGTTGTTTTTTTTCAGGTTCATTCCAGAGAAATTTGTCCTTTCCATAGTGTTTAAAACTACATATCATGAATATGAATACTGACTACCCAGGATTTGAGACATTAATTGCAGGACTTATCTCTTAGGGTATGTAGAACTTATGTCAAATGATGGACAAATAAAAAGAAAACTTAGAAGAGCTGAGGAACATTAAAGCAAGGCTAGGGAAGAAGGCAAAACTGGACCAGAGTCAAAGATGGTTATGCTGGGTAAAACACATCTAAAACATGTATGCTAAGTGGGATAACACATGGGACCTTTACATATTCAAAAATCAGAGGAGAAGTCAAAACTAGCTAGACAAGTATTTTACAGCAATCCAAAAGATCCAGACTGGTGTACAAATCCCTACAAATCCAAATAAAGCTTTGAGTTAACATGAGAAAATGGCCTTCAAGCACAGGCTACTGAAACCTCAGGAAAACTGTCAGTGACTTAGTCAATATATGTAGGAAACTGAATGAAGATTAAATGCAGGCCACTGAAGATGGCTAATAGAAAGGATAGATTTTAATTCTATCCTCAAAGCCTCTTCAAACTCTCAATGGACTTATTAGTCTGAAAATGTGCAACTGTTATGACTAGGTCAATGCACACAGAATCCTGAAATACCATGGATTCTTTGCATCCCACGATATATAAAACAAAAAGTAGATCCCTTTTTCTTTCCAAAGCGTTTTGTTCAAACAAATACATATATAAGAGGAAGTCATTCTTCACATAGCATTTAGTCAGTTTGCAGAACTTCTTATAATAGACAAAATCTGTTCAAAGGCTAGTAACACTTAAGAGTGAGATATAAATATGGGTACAGAGAATTCAGATTTTCAAGAACATGGAGTGGAATAAGCAAAAATCACTTTTAACCTAGTTTATAGACATTACTGGGGCTTAGAAATGTGTAACTGTGCCTACATATATGTGTATATACTCACATATATACACACATACACCCATGCAAATATCTTATTATGGCATATATTCTATATTAAATTACATGCAGTACTGCAAAATATATGAGACACCAATTGCAAGTAACAAAAATATGGCTGTTCAGTACTTACAAGACTTGCACATAATGACCTCTAAACATTCCCAAGATTATTAAGTCTAACAGCATATCAGAGACTTTCAGAAAGTGACATATTGAGCCTATCTTTCAAGCAGGGATGGAAGTTTACTGTCTCTAGTTAGAATCACAGTAAAAGTTCAGTGGAGAAGCTCCAAAATACCTAAAAAAGGCAAATTCGGACAGGCACAATAGAAGCAAGCAATCTGACCGTTGCTATCAACTTTACTGAACTGGGATTAATTTCACTAAAGGATAATCACTGGGCCACATCTTAGATTATTATTGGTACAGATGTGTGGAATTTCTTGTGGCAAACAGATTTACTGAGCAGTGTCTAAGCCTGCCTATTTTTTAATCTCCTCACCCACCCTCAACAGGTACTTATAAAATACATGATTTCTTAGTTAGAGTACACCACATTTTAGTTGTCATAAGCTGATGGCCCGAATATCTTCTGAACTACACTGAACAGTGAACCACCATTAAAAGCTCAGAGGCACTTGAAAAGTCTTTACTCCAAAGTCATAGCTGTGAATCCTGCAAAGAGACTGAGGGTAAAACTCGAATTTTAGGTTCAAAACAGGCTAGCAGTTTTGAAAAATTACCACTTCAGATCATGAAATCAATGTTACACTACCAGGCCTACTGCAGCCAAATGGCTTGCAAACATCATCAAGCATTTTTGAGAATATGGTAAGAATTTGATCTGGCTACTCTGTAGAAAAGTACACAGACTGAAAACGAAGAGAAACAATAATTCAAAAACCCACTTGTCTTTAGAAGACAAGACTTTTTGTGCTGTGACAGCATAAAAGGAAGGAAAGTTTCTCCTTGCATTTACAAATAGTATGCACTGTGAAGTAAGTCAGAATCACATAAATGGAGGGAGCTTTCAGTTAAACAGCCTGTTAGCAGCTAGCCTAGGGAAGGAAACGGGAATGAATGAAAGGACATGGTAAACATGGTGGTCCATGTAGTAAAATAATAATGTAAAAAATCCTATGAACAAAAAAGTCAGTTTTACATAAGTACAAACTTTCATCATAATGGAAATGTATGGAAATTCAAGGAACCTTGACACCACTGTGTGTGTACATCCTTTATTCATCTAATAATATTGTAACTGAGACTTCTGCAAGAGTTTGGCAAAGTAATTGTTTTGAAAGATGGGAACATTTGCATATGTAGCAAAATCTGCGACAGACTAGTTTGTTTAAAAATAAGCAGTGGATAAAATCACAAAAATCCTATGAAAATCTTCCAAAGTTTAATTCGAATCAGCAGTAACCCTTTTCATAAGACATCTTGCTTAATTAAGCTGGGGAATCTGGATTCTGGTATGGAGTAGCACTGCAACCAGTGGAACTCTGAGTGGTCAGCACAGTCTGAATGAGGTCAAGACTGGAATATTTACTGAGATTTTGCAGCTGGATAGAGAGGATGATGCAGACTAAAACCAGCCAGACAACACTATAAAATACTGATAATGAATTGTAATCCTTGTTTAACTCACCAAAGTTAAAAGTTTGCTAGATTCATAGGTCAGTTTGTGTTTCCTCTGTGTTATGTTAACACACTCTTACAACTTGATGAGTCAAGTAACTGACTTGACCAAGAGTCAAGTCTTACTTGACTTCTAAATCACAGAAAAACTTAAATCTGAATTTATCAATATATAAAGACATGTAATACAAGAAATAATGAGGAACAATGCAATAAGGGGAAAAAGGATTTACATCATTGTTATTTTGAATAATTGGGCAATAAATTCGAAACACAGTCAAATAAAGCAGTGTCAGCCACTGTATTTCTGAATGAAGAGGAGAGCACTAACAGAAATGATCATGGGATACTGAATATAACAGCACAATGCTAACTACAGGCAAGCTTACTGAAGAAACAAGCTTAAAATCACTAGTGTATTAGAAAAGCTGAGTATGACGTTAGAATAAAACCTAGAGATAGAATGCAAAAGAAAGAATGGGCAGTTTTAATTACCAAAATTAGGTTTTTGCTAGAAGACTTATTCACTGTTCGAAAGCTAAAATAACAAATATATATTACAGACTTACTGGTAATTGCTAGAATAGCAGGATTTTATATGTGTACACATATGTCTGTTCCAGTCTCTGAGCTTGGTTGTGCTATATTGTGAGTCAACTTCTGCAGTATTTGTGT